AGATTTTTGAAATAGCCCGGAGAGGGATTATATAGCACCTCCGAGGCCATTTATGACCTAAACGTGGACCGAACGACATGAAAAGGACATGATCTTACTAATATCAACTTAAATACATAACAAGAGGGTAAAAAGGAATATACCCCTCCAAGTGCTCACGAAATGCACGGCGAGTTGCGTGCTTGTTTGGTGCTCGAATGCTACGCGTGTGCTCCCCTTAGCTTTGGCTACTCTCACAATTGTTGTATGATTTTTCTCCAATTTTTCCTCACTATTTTCTTTTGGTTTTAGGCTGATGTTAAGCTCGGTTCTTGCATGAATTTTGCATGACAAAACTCACGGCATTTGCTACTTAAATAATTAAAATGGATGAAGGTGAAAATGAGGTTAAATTTCTATTGGTCCACTTGCTTTTACCGTGTGTGCGTAGCATTTTACTTGCCTTATCATCGGCTAGATGGCACCCAACCAAGGGGTTTAGTCACCACTTAGGCTTAGTCATCCTATGTATAGCCCAAACTTTGCCATGTAGTAGAAGCAAGTAGGTGAGTCATCACTACAACTTGGACACCAAACTTATCTCATGGTAATTCTCACGGCAACTAGAAGGCTTAGGATTTGAATTAGTTAATCATGATCTAGGTGCTTAATGGAACATAAGCATGCACTTGGATGGTGGCTTAATGGCGTGCGTGTGGGCTATGACTTGCATTTCCGTGACTTAGTCGTGAACTCGATTTTGAAATTAAATTCGAACATTCTCGATTTCCGATAATTAACCCTGACTAATAATATCCGTTCATAAAATTAACGGTTCGGAAATTAATTATCAAATTCGACTTGGTTAATAATTTAACCGAATAAACTTTCGACCTAAAGTCGAACTTATTAACTTAAACGCTGAAAGTGAACGAGATTAAGAAAAGAAAATACATTACTTTTATTAATAAGAAATTGGGCTATTACAATCTACCTTCCTTAAAATATTTCCGTCCTCGGAAATATTAAACTAAACATATATACAGAACACAAGGAAAGTATATATATCAAAACTCAAAGTCGGGAAAACGAGCACGAATATCAGCCTCCTGCTCCCAAGTGGCTCCGTGGCGATCCCACTGAATGCGAACTAGGGGAACTCATGCTTCCGGAGTCGTCGAACCTGTCGGTCCAATATAGCTACCGGTCGCTCTTCGTAAGATAAATCTGGATGGATCTGAATATCGGTATGTAAAATAACATGATCGGGATCGCACATGTACTTACGTAACATGGATACATGAAAAACATTATGAACACTAGACAACTCGGGAGGTAAGGCCAATCGATACGCAACTTCGCCCACTCGCTCAAGTACTTCGAACGGGCCAATGAATCGAGGGTGCAACTTTCCTCTCTTCCCGAATCGAATAACTCCGCTCAATAGACTAACTCTGAGATAATCTCGCTCGCCAACCTCGAACTGAATATCTCGTCGATGCTGATCGGCTGAAGATTTCTGTCGACTCTGAGCTGTCTTGAGTCTTTGCCGAATCAACTCGACCTGCTCTGCAGTTTCCTCGATCATTTTCGGACCGAGTACTCGACATTCACCGACATCGTCCCAATAAAGAGGGGAACGACACTTACGACTGTAAAGTGACTCGTAAGGAGCCATCTTAATAGAAGATTGATAATTGTTGTTGTACGCAAACTCAACATATGGTAATAACGACTCCCACTTAGCACCCCTGTCAACAACCAAAGCCCGTAACATATCCTCCAACGTCTGAATGGTTCGCTCTGTCTGTCCATCAGTCTCTGGATGGTAGGCTGAACTGAATGCTAGCTTCGTGCCCATCGCCTCGTGCAAACTCTGCCAGAATCTACTAGTGAATATGGGGTCTCTATCTGACACGATAGTAACAGGCACTCCGTGGAGTCGAACGATCCCACGGGTATAAATCTCAGCCAACTTGTCCAAAGACATATTCATCGATACTGGCAAGAAATGAGCAACCTTAGTCAATCTGTCGACCACGACCCAAATAGCATCGTGATGTTCAAACGACATCGGTAACCCTGTGACGAAATCCATCGACACATCCTCCCACTTCTACTTCAGAATCGGTAGTGGTCGCAGAAGGCCTATGGGACTCTTGTGTTCGGCTTTGACTTGCTGACAGGTTAAACATTTCCTCACAAAGCCGGCTACGTCCTTCTTCATCCCTCGCCACCAGAACGACCCTTTCAGGTCATTATACATCTTTGTGCTTCCTGGATCGGCTAGATATGGTGCGGTATCAGCCTCTGTCAAGATCTCCTTCCTCAACGCCTCGACTTTTGGCACTACAATCCTGTCTCGAAATTCCAAGGCACCATCAGTGCCTCGATAAAAACCCTCGACGCCTCCAGCGTGGACTTTGGTATCAATGGCACAAACAAATTCATCAGAAGCCTGCTCCCGCCGGATTCTCTCCCTCAGCGTCGGCTGAATCTGCATGGAACTGACACTCCCTGAAATGGTTGTAGGAAGTGCGTCAACCACCTGAATCTGCATCCGGGTGAACTCCTGGATAAGACGACTCTGCTGAGTAACAACATACGTCAAGTCACCCCTCACCTTGCAGCTTAGGGCATCGGCAACAACATTCGCCTTCCCCAGATGGTACTGAATCGTGCAATCATAATCCTTGACGAGCTCTAACCAACAGCGTTGTCTCATGTTGAGCTCCTTCTGATTGAAAATATACTGTAAGCTCTTATGATCGGTGAAAATCTCGCATCGGCCGCCGTATAAACAATGTCGCCAAATCTTAAGGGCATGAACAACTGCGGCTAACTCCAAGTCGTGCGTTGGATAGTTCTGTTCATGTGGCTTTAGCTGGCGTGAAGCATAAGCAACGACCTGGCCATCTTGCATGAGCACACATCCCAAACCCTGTCTCGAAGCATCACTAAAAATGGTGAAACTCCGAGAAGGATCGGGAATAGTCAACACCGGTGCTGTGGTAAGTCTCGTCTTGAGCTCCTGACAGCTAGATTCACATTGATCAGTCCACTCAAACTTCACAGACTTCCTTGTTAGCTGGGATAAAGGAAGGGCAATCTTGGAAAAGCCCTCGATGAATCTGCGGTAATAACTAGCTAAACCGAGAAAACTGCGAACCTCGGATGGGTTCTTCAGTGTCGACCAGTTCTGAACAGCGGCAACCTTGGATGGATCTACCTTGATACCTGCCTGAATAATAACATGGCCAAGAAAGGCTACTCGGTGGAGCCAGAATTCGCATTTGGAGAATTTTGCATATAACTTTTCTCGTCTAAGGATTTCAAGGACAACCCTCAGGTGCTCCTTGTGCTCCTTCTGGCTCTTGGAGTAGATGAGAATATCATCGATGAAAACAATAACAAATTGATCGAGGTAAGGATAAAAGATACTGTTCATCAGGTCTATGAATACGACTGGAGTATTGCTGAGGCCAAATGGCATGACTATGAACTCATAATGACCGTATCGGGTACGAAAAGCAGTCTTAGGAATGTCTGACTCTTTAAGTTTCAGCTAGTGGCAGCCTGATTGTAAATCAATATGGGAGAATACATAAGCTCCCCTCAGCTGGTCAAATAAATCATCGATCCTGGGAAGCGAATACTTATTCTTGATCGTCAACCGGTTAAGATCCCGGTAATCTATACACATACGCATAGAACCGTCCTTATTTTTAACGAAAAGAACGGGTGCTCCCCATGGTGATACACTCGGTCGGATAAAACCGAGTTTCAAAAATTCCTGAATTTGCGCCTTAAGCTCTTTCAATTCTTTCGGCACCATTCGATAAGGTGCTTTAGAAACTGGGCCGACTCCTAGAATAAGGCCAATAGAGAACTCTACCTGCCGACTAGGTGGTCCTCCTGGAAGTTGGTCCGAAAACACATCCACAAAACTCACGAACAATAGAAACATCGTGAGGTGTCTGCGTCTTCGGCGCATCATCAACGACACTTACAAGATAGCCCTGAAAATCGCCTTGTCCTAACATCTTTCTGGCTTTCGCCATAGAAATAATATGAGGCAAGGATCGAGTCTTAGTGCTGAAGAAAGTAATAGAATCATCTCCCGAAAGATAAAGAGTAATCTCCCAGTCATGGCATCGAATATCCGCATGAAAATATGTTAGCCAATCCATGCCGAGAATGAGGTCAAAGTCCCTCATCTCGAGAACATAAGCGTCGGTAGACAATATACGACCATCGATAGAAAGGATGAGATCTGTAGCTTTAGCAGAAGTCACTATCTTTCGTCCCGAGGCTAAACTCACCTCGAGAGGATCGACATCGGTAATGGCATGAACTCCGATGGGATCGAGACATCGTCATGATATAAAAGAATGAGTCACTCCAGTATCAAATAAAGCGAAGAAAGGAATATTGTTAAGCATAAGCATCCCAGACATGGTACCTGGGTGTTGTTCCGCCTCGGCCTGATCGACTGCATAAACTCGAGCCTGTTGTCTGCCCCTCTGCTGTTGCTGTGGTGGCCTCTGCGCCTGCTGTCGGGGCTGCTGTTGTTGTTGTTGTGGCTGCTGGGGCTGCTGTGGTGGTTGTTGTCGAAGTCGTTCTGGACAGTTGGGGCTGATATGGCCGGGTTGACGACAGAAGAAACAGATGTTCTGGCCTACAAGACATTCTCCGCGATGGCGTCGTTCACAAGTGGGGCAAGCTGGTATGGGCTGTTGTCTCTGGCAGTTCTTGCGATTGTCTGGGCCTCCTCTGAACTTCCTCTTGGTCTTGTTCTTTGGTTGTTGGGCGGCTACGGGCTGGATAGGTGGTTGGGCAATTGGCTTGGCTGGAATCGGAAAAGCTTCCCCCCGAACTCTTGTGTCAACCTCATGAGCGATCGAAATGGTACGAGCGTAATTCTGGACTCCATACCCTACAATGTTGTGATGGACTACTGGGTAAAGCCCGTCAGTAAACCGCTGTGCTCTCTGTGCCTCTGTACGCACTAGGTCGGGAACAAAGGCTCTAAGTTTAGTAAATTCTCTTTCGTACTCATCGACAGAACGACTACCCTGTTTGAGCGCCAAGAACTGACGCTCCATCTCTGCTCGGTAGTACGTGGGATAGTACTTCTCACGAATCAACTCTTTACACGTGTCCCAGGTACAACCGTCCTTTTCGTCGGGACGCATACTCCAGTAAGCATTCCACCAGAGTCGAGCATCACCGGTTAGTTGAAGCTGTGCGCATAAAACACGATAGTGATCTGGACAGTCCATGACCTCGAAAATCATTTCAAGGCCCTGAACCCATTCATCCACGATACGAGGATCTCCCTGGCCGAAAAATTTCTCTGGGTGATAGTCGCGAAACTGTGCGACTACTGTGGCCTGGGGGACCTCTTGATGACCTGGTTCTCTACGAGGCGACATCTGAATATTGAAAAGATCAACATAATCGGATGCAAATATATAACAAAATACTTTAACTGATTATTAATGCGCACAAATCTCTTGACGAGTTGCTAAAACTAACCCGAGAAACTAGAGTCGAATTATCGAATAACTGGAATAAGCGACTATATTCTGGAAAATACTCTGAACTTAACTCGAGCATCTCTGACACCTTACTGAGCATAGACTTAGACATTCGTTTAAATATATAAACAGAAAAAAAATCAGCACTTACCTGATAGTCGGCGAGGCGTGAGCGTGGCGTGGTCGGGTTTTCTGAAAAACTCTAAGTATTCAGATACACAAAGACGTACTCTGATACCAATTTGTAACACCCCGCTAGCTTATTAAAATCAGAGTTAAATTTTCAAAAATTCTTTTCTAAAAATACGTATTGGCTTGCGAAATAGTGACTCGGGATGCTACTGAAAAATACTTCTTTTTCTAAAAAAAAAAAATCCGTTATCTTTTCTAATTTAAAACTATTAGGAAAAACGGATTACTTTTAGTCAAACGAGCTTGTAATACTGTATAAGATCCGACTGGAAAGCTCGGATCAAAATCTGAAAACTAACACGCGAGTTCGAAAATCTGAAAGCATCAGCGGAAGTAAAATCGTGGCAAAATAATATACATATCATAAGTCTGCAAAAACATATGTACTGGACCAACGGCCACCTGCTCTGCTCACTCCTCAGAACCGACCCTGTCACCTGAAAAAGATAATGTAGTGGGAGCGTGACACTAAAGCCACTGTGCTCCGCAGAAACTCATACTGAAATAAAACAGTAATAATAATTGCATCATCATGATCAAACGCATGTAAATAATCTGCTCATGTATGTAACTGGCTAGTCAACAGTATAAACTGGACCGGATATTATGTCTGCCGACTGTAATAAACTCAGCCGGACCCATGTGCACACCCTAGTGGTTAGATCTAGCCACTAGAGCTCGGAGTGGAATTACGCAAACTGGCCACCACTCTAAGAGAAACTGGTATATACATACCTCGAACATGATAGTTGTAATTATACTCAATGAAATACTCAGTTTGAGTTCCCACCTGAACTGCTAGTCTGAAAGTGTAAGTGCTGCTGCTGATCAATCTGTAAAAATATACATAGATAAACAAATACCAAGTATTATGCTCAGACTGACTGAAAGTAGCTGTTAAGATGATCGACTCGATCTAAATATTTAACTAGAATAATCTCGAGGTCTAACTTGAATGACAAGAAAACTAGACTGAACTGGTACTGGTATATTGAACTGATTGAACTGAAAATTAACTGAAATATTGTACTGAACTCGGACCAGGTCACTGAGTCCTGAACTACTTAAGCAACCGGTCTGAACCGGCCGGTTCATTAACTGGCTGGACCGTCGGCTCGCTGCGGTCGGGCGATTGGCCGCTGACTTGTCACCGGCTCGGTCACTTGCGCGCACTGGGCGCGGCATAGGTGCTGCTGGCGCTGTTGGCGCTGGCTGGCGCTGATCTGTGCGCTGGCGGGTGCAACTGGCACCGCGCGTGCGCTAGGGACGGTTGCTGGCGTGCTGCTGTGCACGGTCAACGACTACTGGACGTTATTGGACATGAATGGCCACTGCCGCGGGCGCTGGCGATGTCACTGGAACGTACGGACACTACCGGGCGCTATTGCGCGTCATAGGCAGGCTGGCACGCAAGCTACGCGTGCTGGGGTGACTGGGTGCTCGGGCGTGCTGTCGGGCAACGTCGAGGCCTGCTGGCGCGCTGTTGGGCGCGCTGGCGTGCGTGGATACTGGCCAGCATGCGCAGAGCGCTACTGGCGGGCGTACATGCGTCGCGAGGCACGCTGCTGGGCGCGCGACGCGTTGCAGCGTACACGTATGGACTATTTGCGTGCTGCCGTGCATATTGGTGTGCGCTGCGCACGCCTATGCACATACCTGTAACAGCACATTACTGGCTGCGGGGCACCGGCTACGCACACGCACTGCTGGGCTTGTGCACGCTGTCTGCGTGCCCGCTGCAACTGCCGGTCGTGCCATGCGCACGCTATGTGCGGATAGGCACTACGGTCGGCCTTTCGCCGGCTGTCCGGCAACTTTTTTCGGCAACCTACATATGACTGAACATAAAATGACTTGAAATGGCTAAATATACGTGAATAACTCGGGTCTTGCCGGTTAGATTCTTGAAATAGCCTGGAGAGGGCTTATATAGCACCTCCGAGGCCGGTTATGACCTAAACGTGGACCGAACGACTTGAAAAGGACATGATCTTACTAATATCAACTTAAATACATAACAAGAGGGTAAAAAGGAATATACCCCTCCAAGTGCTCACGAAATGCACGGCGACTTGCGTGCTTGTTCGGTGCTCGAATGCTACGCGTGTGCTCCCCTTAGCTTCGGCTACTCTCACAATTGTTGTATGATTTTTCTCCAATTTTTCCTCACTATTTTCTTTTGGTTTTAGGCTGATGTTAAGCTCGGTTCTTGCATGAATTTTGCATGACAAAACTCACGGCATTTGCTACTTAAATAACTAAAATGGATGAAGGTGAAAATGAGGTTAAATTCCCATTGGTCCACTTGCTTCTATCGTGTGTGTGTAGCATTTTACTTGCCTTATCATCGGCTAGATGGCACCCAACCAAGGGGTTTAGTCACCACTTAGGCTTAGTCATCCTATGGATAGCCCAAACTTTGCCATGTAGTAGAAGCAAGTAGGTGAGTCATCACTACAACCTGGACACCAAACTTATCTCATGGTAATTCTCACGACAACTAGAAGGCTTAGTATTTGAATTAGTTAATCTTGATCTAGGTGCTTAATGGAACAGAAGCATGCACTTGGATGGTGGCTTAATGGCGTGCGTGTGGGCTAGGACTTTCATTTCCGTGACTTAGTCATGAACACGATTTCAAAATTAAATTCGAACATTCTCGATTTCCGATAATTAACCCCGACTAATAATATCCGTTTATAAAATAAATGGTTCGGAAATTAATTATCGAATTCGACTTGGTTAATAATTTAACCGAAGAAACTTTTGACTTAAAGTCGAACTTATTAACTTAAACGCTGAAAGTGAACGAGATTAACAAAAGAAAATACATTACTTTTATTAATAAGAAATTGGGCTATTACATGCGGCCTTGTGCATTTGCGATGGATGTATCCATTTGAACGATACATGAAAATTTTGAAGGCTGATGTGAAGAACCCGCGCCGACCTGAGACAACCATTGTTGAAAGATATGTTGCAGAAGAGGCTATAGAATTTTGTAATGAATATTTATCACAATCAAAATCTATTGGCGTCCCTATATCTCGCCACAACGGAAAGGGGTTTGGTAAAGGGACTATCGGGGGACAACTAAAGAGTGTTGATCGTGAAGAAATGATACAAGCACATACATATGTTCTCAATAATACTCCTAAAGTGCATCCTTACATAGTTGCACATAAGGCACTAGTAAAGCGACAAAATCCTCGAAAACCTGAAAGGTGGTTGGTGCAAGAGCATAGCAGGACATACAAATTAAAAAATTATACCAATGAAATACATTTATCGTTTGGATTGACAGAGAACACTGTCAGTTGATGATACTTTGTCCCAAACAAAATAAAGTGGTTTGGCTGTGCTCGTTGAGACAAAATCCCAACACAGAGTTGATAAACAAGATTAACAGGTATGTTCTTAAATTGATAAATTAGATCGATTTTGTAGTTAACTTTTCTTTGCTAATTTCAAATATATTACCTTTAACATTTTAGCTTATTTTGTCTTTTAAGTAATATGAATATTTATTATATTGTAGTGCATTTCGTGCATACTTCATGGTTAAGGGAAAACATAACCTTATAAGAGAGAAGCCTAAATGGGTTCCACTTAAGGTAAATTTATTAATGATGTTAGGTGTTTTTATTTTGGTGAGTTATATTATTTCCTTCTTAGTTGTATGCATCGATTTAATTTGTGTAGTATAACGGAAGTTTTTATTTTTTTCATACAAGTGTCGAAAACAATTGGGAGAAGAAGCATGTGGATATTTTGTTATGCGGTATATGCTCGAGATTATATCACTTGACATTATCGACTCGTTCGAAGAGGTAAATTTTTTATTAAAATCAACTTTTTGATGTATTTGAAATCGCACAATTCAATACATGTTAATTATAATGATAATATTTTTTATTGTATCATGTAGGCTTTCAACATTGATGAGCCATATTCGGACGATGACATTGAAAATATAAAAATGCGGTGGATGAAGTACTTTCTTGAGGTTACTTCATTAGGAAAATAGACTTATCAGTTTACTTGCATTTTATGGATTTTGAACTTTATAACTGTGGTTGTTGACTATTGTAGGTGTAGTGCATATGAAAACTATTTTTCATAAGAGCATCTCCAATGTGGCTTTTGACATTATAAAAATTCATCCATATCATCAACATTTGAAAGTGTGTTACTAAATTATTCTCCAACATTTGAAAACTATTTTTCATAAGAACTCTTTCATGATAATGTAGATAGCATTTAATGTTGACAATGTTGAGCACACTTTCTAATATCTAACACCATGTTAAACATTGTGACTAATCAATTCATTTTATATTTGATTTTATTTTTTATTATTTTTGTATTAATAATTATTTGAATTGGTCCACATATACAAATAACTTCTTCTCAAATTGATGCATTGGAGATACTAATTTGATTCAAGTTTCTACTCTTTTAACATTATTCCTACATGGATTAACATTACAATCATTGATTGATATGTGTTCAAAATTATTGTCTTTCAAAGATATAGCATTGGAGATGCTCTAACTTAGAGTTGTTGAAATATTTTGGTTGTTAGTATTTGTGATGTGGGTTTCTGTTGAATTGTGGGAATATATTGAATGTATCAATGTTATTATTTTGTAGTAATAGATTTTTAGATTTACAGGTAAAAAAATATATTTTTAAATAAAATTGTTGTAAGTGCTTGATTTTACATCGGTTTTTAAAGCTGATGTAAGGAACCGATGTAATAATCCTAACATTTTACATCGGTTTTTATAAAGCCGATGTAAATAGACTATTTCGACATAAAGTTTTCATGTCGGTTTTCATAATAACTGATATCATTGAAAAGCATTATTCACATCGGTTATTTTGAAACTGATGTGAATCCGAGTAATATGACATCGGTTATTCTGATAACCGATGTTACATGACTTTATTACATCGGTTTTTATCTATAATTGATGTATATACAGCTTGTTTGCATCGGTTATTACGAAATCGATGTTAAATGTCTTACTTTACATTGGTTGTTAAACGGACCGATGTAAAAGGGTTCAATTTTTTTGTTTTTCAAGCCCTATTTTTTCCCTTATAACATCGATTGTTGGGCAAAACCGATATAAACAAGTTCTTTTTCACATCGGTTCATTACCGATGTAAAAAAGACAGACTTTTCACATCAGTTGTAAAAATGGGTTTTAACCGATGTTAATATGATTTTTAACCGATGTAAAAAGTATTTTTTCCACTAGTGATTTGGAGCTAATTCGAACAGATTGGAGCTCATTTCCACCGGTTCACTCCAGATCTAGGAGAAGACCCATCAAATTGGCGCCGTCTGTGGGGAGTTCTTGAAGAAAGTAAGAGCTTTGCACCTAGTTCTGATCTGTTTGACATGGTGGAGAAGGAGGGACTGTCGAGAAATCTAAACGAGGACTTCAGGGCAACATGGACAGATAAGCGGCCGCCATCGATTCCTGGCCCTAGACCAGCACTCCAAGTGCTCGGGTTCCCACCGTTTGGAGGACACGTACCGTCGGGAGTGTGTATAGAGGAAGAAACATCCATCACACCACCTGGGGTAAAGATTCCAGGGCTAACACAAGGAGGATCTAGCCAGACGAAGGCCGCGGACACGGGAGTCGACAGGCATGAATCGGCCGAAATGACTTTTATCTTGGGAAAGCAGTCTGGGATGTTGGAGCAAGGGGCAAGACCGCCACCCCAGGTCGAGGAGCAAATGATGACCATGACGAGGAGCAAGATACAAAGGATGATTGCGGAAGCGGTGGCAGCTCAAATCAAATAGGTGCAGGTCGTGCAACCTAGGATCGAGTAACCTAAGGTTGAGCTACCGCTTAACGACCGCGAACAACAGGCCCAGTCCAATGAGAGGTAGGTCAGGGGAGCAGAAGAGGAAGCATCTTCTATCAGGACTGTTAACCCGCAAGCGAGAGACGAGACATTGAAGCAATTGTTGGCCCAAGTTCACGATTTGCAGGCTCGAGTCGAGGGACGAAAAACTGGAGGCTCAAGGGGACACCCCTTCTTGCAACACATTCTGGACGTTGACTTACCGCAGGGATTTCGTGATCTAAACATAAGTTATGACGGGTCGAATGATCCATCTCGTCATATGAGGAGTTTTGAAAATATGGCGGTCCTGCACCGTTATAATGACCCAGTGCAATGTCGAGCCTTTTTTACGACCTTACGAGGTTCTGCCCAGGACTGGTTCCATCAGTTACCATCAGGAGACATCAAAGATTTAGATGGGTTTAGCTCGAGTTTTCTCAACCAATTTGCAAGTGTCAAACCCCAAGAGAAGTCGTATCTAACCTTGATGGGCATACAACAGAAAGAAGGCGAGTCGCTGTGAGATTACGTGGCGAGATATACGCGCGCGTGTGTCGCTGTACCTAGAGCACCGGAGGAGATCAAAGCGGGGGGATTGACTCGAGGTTTGCTACCGGGGTTATGCAGAAACTCTTTGGCGAAACTTCTGGTAAGACGTTTGATGAAGTGTTAGGCAGATGCGCGAAATATATGAATGCCGAGGAAGCGAAAGCCGACTTCTTGCAGACAACAAAAGCAAGAACCGAACCCTGGGACGACAAGAAGGATAAGAAGATGAACCCATCAGGGAAAAGGAGAGGATCCCCGAGGGCAGACAAGGAGAGACGACTTAGGGGATGGAGGCCGACTCAATACACCCCTTTGTCTGCCCCTTAAGCGCGAATTTTGGAAGTGATGGAAAGGGAAATTCATGACAACGTCGTTAGATGGCCTAAGCCGAGGAAGGATAAGCCAACAAGACCCAAAAGCAATTTATACTGCCGATTCCACAAAGATTATGGGCATAATACCGATGATTGCAGACACCTTAAAGACGAGATCGAGAAGTTGATAAAAGTGGGCCATTTGAAAGAATTCATATATAAGGATTGGGAAAAGTCGAGCAGGAGGAAATAAAGGAGCAGGGGCCCTCGAAAGAGGGCGAGAACGCCTGAAAAAGAGGAACTTCCTCAGAAAAGGGGAGTCATTCACATGATTTTTGGTGGATCGACTGATGAGGACTCGAATCGAGCAAGGAAGGCGTATGCTCGAGGGCGCCATGGGAAAGTCGATGTGCAACAAGTCGATGAAAATGGTCCAGTAATGAATTTTGGGCCAACCGACGTGGGGGAGGTCGAGAGACCTCACAATGATGCATTAATGATAACCGCCCAAGTATCAGGGTATGAAGTGTAACACCCCACTATTTTACTGAAATCAGAGTACGCTTTTTCGCAAATTTTTAAGTAAAATAAATAAAATATTTCTTTTTGCGAAAACTGATTCGGAGTGTTACCGTGAAATCTGACTTTTCTGAAAACTGTTAATTTTAAACTGATAATAAAAACGGTTATAAATATATTAACCGACTAGTGTCGGATCAAAAGCTGAGTTAAAGTACTGAAAACTGTAGCGGAATAGTAGCGTGGCCAAAACATAACATATACATAACAAAAAAAATATCCTGAACAGCTCGTCAGCTCACTCCTCGTCCCCGACTCTGTGACCTGAAAAACATGAAATACGTGGGGGCGTGAGCACCAAAACACTGTGCTCCGCAGAAACTCATACTAAAGTAAAACAGTGAAAATAATAACAATATCATGATCCTGGTATATATAACTGAACTGAAACTGAACTGATAACTGATACCGGTACTGAATAATCTGATACTGATATCGTGATATAAATCACCTAACTGATAACTGAACATCTGCCGGCACAAACTAATACCGGACACCATGTGCACACTCTAGTGGGCAGATTAGGGCCACTAGAACCCAGAATGGACCGGCGACCATTCCGAGAGGATACTGATAATACATACCTCAAACATGGTAGCGTAATTATAATCAATGTAGTACTTAGTCTGAGTCCCCACCTGATCAGTGAAAATGAAGGTAGTGCTGATGCCTGATCAAATTGAAATATAATATAAACAATTACGAAGGACTATGCTCAGACTGATAAATTAACTGATTAATTATGTTAAGATGCTCTATTAGAATCAACATGATATTCGGATTTAATCGGTATAACTGGAACCGGTTAAATACGAAACTGAACTGATATAATTTTTACTGAACTGAACTGGACCCGAAATGTTAACTGAAATGATACTGAAATCAAGAACCGGGACTAAAACCATAAAATACGGGCTGAGCCGGTCCAGCCGGTTTGAACTGGTCTGAACCGGTCTAGACCGGACCGCCGGCCCGCTGAACCGGACGGTCGGTCGCTGGCTCGGCCAGCAGGCCTTCCAAGGCTGCGCGCAGGGGCGTTGTCTGGCCTGGCCGCTG